AGCAATAAATTTGGTTCTAAGTAGGTTGTTCAAACCAAATCTAAGCATTGTGATTGTTACTTTGCCCTCTTCCGCTCTAAGTTTAAAATATAACATATTAACCCTTGTTAAATAGTTAATGATTAACTAATTTGACTACAAAAGATTGTAAACTATCCTTTGGACAATTTACATAAAGTAGGGGAAAAAATGATGAAATACCCCTCTTTGACAAATAACAAGTTTAATATTACTTTATGCTTATAGAACTTTGCTAACTTTTATTTATATTTATCATTCATCATCACAATTATTACTCGATATATATATATATTTTTAGTTGAGTTTAATTTTCCGGATTGAAGGCATTCCTAATCTATCCAAGCGAATTGCCCCACGAGCCAATCTTGGAAACGAATTAAAGGCCTCATATATCTTGAGTTGTTGTTCTGGATGTGATACAACCACATTGGATAACGCATCAGCAACTGTGTTAGCCTCCCTATAACAGTGCGAGATACGATTCGAATCTTCCACGAACTTCCAAATCTGCCTGACCTCCCATCGAATATGCCAAGGGCAATGAATACGATGCTGAAGAATTCCAACTAATACCAAAGAATCCGATTGCACATATAGATTTCCAAAACCCTTATGTACACATATTTGAAGACCAATAAGGAGGGCCCTAGCCTCTGCACGGAGACATGTAGTTTCTCCAAGATATGCCGAAAAACCAATCAGAGGCATGCCCTTTGAATCCCGAAGAACCCCATCGCCTTCACCCACTCCTGGATTACCCTTTGAACAGCCATCTGTATTAAGAATGTATTGACCTGATTGCTTATTTTCCCAGCGAACAAGTTTGTATGCAACCCCAACATTAGATGAATACAACAAATCACATAAATGATGAAATGACTGTACTCGAAAACCTTGTTTAAATTGAATTCCCGCCATGGACTGTATTTCCGAAAAAATGGCATGACAAAGGGCAGAAGATCTCATTTGGGCACCCTCAAACATTGCTTTATTTCTTGCCTTCCAAATCTACCAACAAACTATACTGGGAAGAATGTATCCAAAAATAAATGAAAGAGAATCTATTGCTTTATCAATTTATTATTTATTTTTAGTCACACCTTTGAGAATATGATAAATTTTGACAAAATCAGAAAATGATAAACAAAAATAGGTATTCCCATTTATTTCGTCTGCATTTGGTTTTTTCTTCAGGTTGCATAAGTGCTACATTGTTTAATCTTTTTTCACTAAGTTTTGCTGTTAGAATGTAAATAATTTGATAAATTGTATAACAAAACAATAATACTCATAACTTGGAAACAAATATGCCTAATTAAAATTTGATAAAATAGTTGCTTTATCATTTATTATTAGTTAAATTAGTCAACAATTCAATCCTCATCCAAACAACTAAAGTATAACCTTTTTTTTTTCACTACCTCGTGAAGTTAGGGAAGAGACACTCTAGCATCAAAGTTATTGTCAAAGAAGATGCCATACAATTTTTTTTTTCTTTTTAGCTGCCATACAAAATTACCAAAGAAGTGGCTTACATGTAGGCATCTAGTCTTAAAAGAGATCTTACTTGGCATGTTTTAATAAATTAACAAAATTTCTTACAAAATTTCACAACTAGTAACTAGGTCACACTCTGAACCTGACATATTGTTTGATAACTTCAAAGCACCACGAAACAAACCTGAAGCAGATAGGCTCAATTTTGCTGATGATCGGCTTCTGGAGGAAAAAGATGAAAACTGCTGTTCCCTGAGGTTGCATGGATGTCCAAATGTACATAAAGTTGAGATGGCATTACCTGTATAGTACTCCAAAAACAACCTTGCTTCTCCAGCGGGGCCTAAGTATACACACGTTAGACTTTTATTTTTTTTAGAACAACAAAAATCCAGTAAATTTATCGCACATTTTCATGAAATAATGAATCATGCCAAATGTTCAACGATAAGATTATTACTCAACCAATAATATCAAATTTCAACATAAATAAAATTAAAATAAGATAATAAAAATTTTTATTAAAAATTTCTAAAAACTTAGATCTAATATCTAATGCAAAAACAATAAGTGCAAGTGGTGATGCATATCCCAAACTTCAGCTCATTGGCAGGGAAACACACACATTCTCTCTCTTTCTCTCTCTCTCTCTGAGTTACGTCTAACATTCCATTGTCAAATTACCATTTCTCTATGTAAATGCATGGGCTTTGAACTTTTGATTTGCTACCACAGTAGATTTATATAGAACAAATGACTCAAGAATGAAGTTAAGATCCTAGCAAGTGCTAGTAGATTCTTTCTAAACCCCATCACATCTAAGGTCTATTCTTCTTATTCTCCAAATGGTGACAAATGAAAATTTTGTGGCAGGTTAATTTTCTTGATATAATTATTTCTTGATCAATTGGACCGAAGATAGTTTAAATCTTGGAAGTTTTAGAGTAGTTTCCTTGAAGGATTAGGTTGGCATTTATTCAGTCAGTCCACACATGAATCCACCTAGTAGTACAACTTTTGAGATCCAATTTAGCCTATGAAAATTTGTCAATGCCTCTTGATACTTAAGAAAATTTGCCATGACTAGTTTCTACGTAAATAAGACCGAAAAGACAAATAAAGAAAGAAAATAATGCGTTATTGTTCCTTGTTAATATGTCATTATTTGAATGAGCATACAAAAGTAAGTGAGCTAATGTATTAAATACTAATCTTTTTGTATTACCAAACAATCTTTATACGCCAATGCTCATGTGTTACAAATATGAACCTAATAGTATTTTTCAATATTAACCAAAAAAGCATCATCCATTGGTTTTCTCAAAATTGATCAGTATTGTTTGTTATTAGCTCAAAGCCTCAACAACCATTAGTGTAAACTAAACTCTGCAGCCATAACCGAAATCACTGATTCTATGTACATAGTTATTCTTTAGCTTTTCGGCCATGGAAAGATACCAGCTTATCTGCTTGGATAGGCTATTTTAGGCCAACAGTCCCGACTTTTGTTCCATCATAAAAAAAATTTCATGGAACACAAACGTTGAATGCGCTGCAATGTAAGACCAAAATATAACAAATACAAACTTGGAAAAGCCAAAAAAAAATTTACAACTATTATTGATTTCTATGTCAAATACTACATATAATAATTAAAAAAACTCCCACAAGAAAATATATGCATAAAAAACAAATTATTAAACGAGGATTTCTTGGGGATACCTGGGTATTGCTTACATTTTCCAGGGATGGTTGAGTAGTGGCGGAGCCATGTTCATCTCTGGGGGTGCAATTGTACCCCCTCAATCTTAAAATAATGTAGAATAGGTTATAAAATTTTGGATTTTTTAATATTGTAACTCTCTTGCCCCCCTGAATTTTGATAGTATTCCTTTTAATCCAACAATTGCCTCCCAAAAGTGTTAAAACCTTTTGTAGTTGCTCTTACCATTTCTAATGGAACATTGAAACAAAATATATTACACAATGGTGTTTTTTTCTTTATAATGTTTTGCTTTATGCAACATTGAACTTTTTTAGATGTTCAATGATACGAATTACAAGCGAAATAAACATTTCCTTTACATTCCAGTTCTGTACAAGTTGCCAACCCAGTTTATATAATGGATTTTTACATTTTGTAGTCTTTTGCACATTTTAAAGTTCTATGCAATTATAAAATTACATGACCTGATAACTTTTACTAATGGTTAATCACAAATAGCAAATACCTTTTTTAAAAAAAATTTGTAATATTAAGTAAATTGATTGGTGTACTTATAGTAAAAATTTAATTATAGTAAAAATTTCTAAACAAACATACTTTAGATTTAAGCTAATATTAATGTTACACCCTTGAACAAAGGTCCTAGCTTCATCGCTGCAGTTAAGGGTGAGAATCATGGGCTTCAGGCAGCTAAGACATGCTGGCAGAGGCAAGCGGGAGAGAAATGGAATTATGTTTGCTTAGATTGACAAGAGGCAACATTACTGTGTTCTCCACTTTGCCTTGACAAAGTGAGATGGGTGAAAAGAAAGAAATGCCAGTGTCTTCTCCAACGTACCTTGCTACAGATTAATTGAGGATCGACTTGGTATGCAAATATTCAAAAAGTATTGCTAAATCTGTTGAATACTGAGAAATGAAGGGCCACCAATGGCTTGTTAGATGGCTCCAATAAGTGATCAAATTTCATGACTTTTACAGGGCGAGTGAGCTGCTCATCCCAAAATATTCTGTCAAATAGGAATTGTCAATGCTTATCCATCTTGCTTCCTATGCATCAATAGAAACCAAGAATCATACATGGGTTTCTTCATTGGGTTTGCTTTTTTGAACTCTTATGATAGAAGAGATGTACATATATAGTTATATACATTCCCATCACCTTGAGAGAACATAGCTCACTATAAGAGACTTAGTTGCTGTATGTAGATATTGGCAGAGGAAACTGCATTGGGTATAGAGGGGGAGGTCATATAGTAAGACCCTTAGAACTTGAACTTTTAACAGAATTCAAAAGAAAAAGGGAAGTCAACAGATCAGCCTCTTAGCTACGTAGTCTCCATGAACTCTATGCTAGCCAGGTGCCTAAGATTTGTCAATATTAAGGTGTTAGGGAATAGAGCCAAGTTCCTTATGATAACTCGGAAGAAGTTTTGCTTCCATATCATCCTGCGGCTCAAGATCTTTGACCTTGGTCTCTCCTTGTATTTCAGATGTCTGGTCTGATATAAGAATACATATCTGGTAGAAGACTACCCTTACAGTAGGGTTGAATGATGGCATACAACTCATACCATCCTTTCTGTGCAAATAAATAGCATAGAAATTGCAATAATTTGACCTAAAATACTGTTGAAATTGTACCATACAGAAAACAGAAGTTTCAACCATTCTAGCACGTCAGCCAGACTTTTAAACATTTCCTTACAGCATCACACAGTTTGAGAAATGTCATTGAACAATCAACACATACATATCACAAATACTTCTCTCCTCCCAAAAGATCCATATCCTTGGACATACAATATGACCTGCGCTTTAAATTCGCCAGCAAAACCAAGAGCCAATAGCCTGAAAAACATATTAAGATACAGAAGTCCAGAGTCAATCAATTCCAGAAATATATAACCAACATCTACATCATCTCAGGACGCTAACAATAATTCCATCAAACACAAAACAAGGAAAAAAAGCAAAAAAAAAAAAAAAAAAAAAAAAAAGAGGATTGCATTGCATTACATAAGGTGGACTCCTTCTAAAAGTATTATAAGAACAGGCAGGAAAATTAAGAAATAGAACTAGGCAGTATAATTGTCTTACCATAACTTAAGTGGTTCCACTGTAAACCTTATATCTTTCTGTGATTTGCACTCTGCAAGAAGGGCAATATTCTCCTACAATAATACTGCAGCCGACGCATACAACTTGATGGGAACAAGGCAAGAACAGAACAGAAACTTCTTTTCTACAGCAGATAATACAACGCCTGTGATCAGGAATGAGCATTGCTTGAGCCAAGTTTTGTGAGCTTTCAGCCTCTGAAACACTTGAACCCAACAAGTGCTGTGTCTTGAGAATGGATGCTTCTAACATGAGCCTCTCCTTATCATCCATCACACGCCGACGCTCTACCTCTAATTTTTGCTCCAATGCTGACAACTTTCTATCTCTATATTCTCTTGCAATTCTAGTTAGTTTCTTTTCTTCTGAAACTAGAATGCGGGCCTGCTCTTTTTCCTCTATTTCTTGCTTGAATTTCAGCTATTTAAAATGAAAAAAAAAAGAACAAATAAGAGTATAATGAAGTACTTTGAGCATCAGTGAGTATGGCCAGGGGCGGATTTAAAGTGGGGGCACTGGGGGCACGGCCCCACTGCCCCCTTAAATTTCTATAATACATCTATAATTTTGACATAATTTTAAAGGTGCCTCCAGAATTTTTTTTAGAAAAAATGTGAAAGAATGGGTCACAAAATTTATATTATTCACTTTCCTCCTCTAATTCCCATTTTCCCACCAACAGGGCCAAGTACCAATTATATCAGTCATTCCTTTTGGTCCCCACTCCCCAAGTTCCCTTTACTCCTGTGGTCCCCCATTTTCCTTCACAACCGACTCCTCTTCTTCCACACCAAGCCAACTACTTTTTTTTTATCACTTCATCCAATTATTATTTATTTCCTTTGTCCTCACTCCCCAATTTCCCTTTCCTCATCTGGCTCTCGGTTGTCCCCACTCCCCAACATACATACGATAGCCATTTTTTTTTCCACAACCAAAGCTTGTTACTCTTTCTTTTGATCACTTCATCCTATTTAGAGATTGCACCAGAATCAATTGATCTTCTAGGACTTGGATCCGCCATATTTTGCAACTCTTTTCACCAACTTTAGGAGACAATCAAAATCAGGTTCTAAACAATTACTTCTTATTATTATTATTTTAAATTTGTTTCCAAATATATATCTAAAGCATGAGACTATTACTATTTTAAAGAAATTTGAAAATTGATTAGTTAATATAATAACTAATAAATGGGTTATTTGATAAATATTTTAACTTGTGAAATGGTGATTTTATGCATGAGACTTTTTTTTTGCTTAAAAAATTAGAAAAAGAGTAGATAAAAAATTTTAGTGTTATTTTTGCCCCCACTAAGATTTTTTTCTGGCTCCGCCCCTGAGTATGGCTAATTTAAAATGCAATTAAAGGCATCACAAGTACTAATAATGTGCATGCACGTATCTGTTAAACTGTATTTCAAACATTTTTTTTTCTTTTTATTGTTTGAGTCTATATCATCAGTCGTGAAAACAAGAGGTCATAAAAGTGATTTGTACGATCTGTTTAACAGCATACAAGAAAGGTTCCAAATCTGACAACTTTCTCTAATTTTGGCTTATGTAGGTTTGGAAACTTGCAATGATCCCAAAAAAGTTTATTAAAATGCATTTAGAGACAAAAAAAAACCCACTTCATTCTTTTTTAGGGTATCAATTCAGTTGTAATACAGTGTTGCTAAGAGCCACGATAGATCACTTTATTGATGTACCCATATTACACAAAAGGCATTAACGATTGTAAGCAAGGCGCCAATATGATCTATTCAAGGTAAGTACTCTAAGATCTTTTCCCACCAAAAATAATTAAAAAAAAGTACAAGATAATCTTATTGCCACATCGGGACATAGGACTAATTGTGGTACAAAAAGTGATAAGAAATTAGGATATTCTAATCTAGGAACTTCAGAAAAGAGAAAAAATTAAACTGTTCGCTACATGCTCTTTGAGGAAGAAAATCCAGAACCTCTTTTCTTTGAGGAAAAACCAAAGTTTTCAGCTCATTTAATACTTATTTATCACATACTAATACCATTAGAGCATAAAATGTCCCTCACATGCCAAAATGTATCGATTAATACGCGTGGTGCATTGCACAAACAAAATACAAGTTTTATGTGTCATTGACAATGTTTCTTTAGATCACCTTAATTGGATCTTACACGTCAATAACCATTCATAATGAGGTCAATTGAGTTCCGCATAGTTGCCAATATATTAAACCAAGAATAAGGAGAAATTTTCTTCACTAGCCTATTATGCAGTGCAATGAAGATTATTCAACTAAACAGAAAAAGATAAAAATCTGATTGACGCCTTGAAGCGATTGTATTTCACTATTTGATACTTTCAATAGGTGTGAGTTCACAATTGATGATTATGCAAATTTTATATCACTTCTATAATCATATTGCTGTTCTTGGGAACCTAAATCTCTATAAAGATTCATCAATATGCACATGCAGATAGTGCCCATTGATCAAATTCAAACCAAACAGGATGTATCATGGAAGTACTATGCAACATAAATCACAATCAAATTAAGTCAAAGATCATCAGTAAACACAATTACCTTGGCTTCTTCTTGGGCTTGAACAACATTTTTCAACTCCACTTCCAGCTGAAGAATCTTTTCTTTCTCTTGATTAATCAGACTATTTGTCTTGCTGATATGTTTTTCTGAGTTTTCGATCTTCTTAAGGTCTTCCTTTTCCTTTTTCATAGCCAGTTTCATATTCTTCTTTGATTCTGATTCATTCAACTCAATGCTGGTAAGCTCAGCTCGAAGTCTAAGATTTTCAGCCTGAACTTTTCCCAATTGTTGATATAGCCTGTCGATCTGATCCATTGTGGTTCGTTGAGCATTTTCTTTCTTTAATATCATTTTAGACATAGAAGTTGCGAGTTCCTCTTTCTCCTTAGCCAATTGCTCTCTCTTTTCTTTTTCCAAACTTAGCATAATTAACTCATGAGAGTGACTAACCAAACTCGCTCTCGATTCCCTTCTTTTATTCAGAGCCCAATTTTTTCTATCTTCCACTTGTTGCTCCAGACTTCGTATGAGTTCTTCCAAGCTGAAAATAATTTCATGTTTTTGCTCTTCGGAACAATTTCTTAGTCTTGTTTCATCACATAACCCCTGAAACCCTTCAAATGGATTAGAAATCTGATCAAACTCAAAATCTTCCAAGGAGATTTGACCTTGTTCTTGTGGACTGGCAGAAGAAGTAGCATTCTTTTCTGATTGACTTGCCAACTCTGGGGTATAAGTAAGACCAGTCAATCTCTTCAATGCAAGAGCATTTTCTTTCAAAAATGCATCAAAATCAAATTGATTAGCTCCTGAAACTTCACTAGAAGAAGAAGCTTCAACTCTATCAGGAGCAAGAGATTGATTAGTTTTCTCAATAGCAAGCAACTTGCTTGACAAAATCTGCTGCATAGCACTAGACTTCGACAAACCAGGGCGCTGTCTTTCCACTAAGTTAACCAAATCTTGTACCCAAAACTCGATCAATTCGGCCAATGTTTTAAAAATGGGTTCTTGTTCTTCATTAAAAATGACTTTACCATTTTCTTGGCGAGAACTATTGATTAAAGTCAATGTACTTTTCATGATACTACTTCGGATGTCCGGTTCACCAAATATATACCCTGCTCTCAAAAGTGCCCCTTCAATGGTTTGAGTATCATATCCCATTTTTGACATAATTAGGCATGCTTCTTCATATGCTATTTCAATTTTAAGGTACAGTAATTTTTCTACCTGCTTGTCTTCAGTGTGCTTAGCATCACATTTGTCCCCTTCTTTCTCATGTCCCAATTCAGATTTGATAACTGAGATATCGATTTGCTTGTTGTTTTCTTTGGATTTATGAGGATTCGATTTCTCCTTTTTCTTCTTGTGCTTTCCTTTCCTAGAGCCAGCCATCAATGCAGATTAAGCTGCAAGAAGAAAAATGAAAGGGCCACAACATTCATTACTTCCAATAATATGTATGATGTTATCGAAGAATAAGGAAAAAGCTAAAAGAGAAAGAATTATGCATTGAAATTAACATGACAATAATGTTACCGCATATTAGAAATCAGGTCTGACATTATCTTAAGTTCACAAGACAATACCAAATAATAAAAAACGATTTCCTTCTTATTCTTCACAACCTTCTGTTATCTAATTTTAAGTAACTGCACTTATTAAGTCCGCATATAGAGAATCAATATATGTTATTATAAGTTTATAACTCTTTCAAGGAACAAAAAAATTCAAAGTAATAATAATAATACAACTTTGATAACCCTTTAAGGAAAAAGAATCAAAAACTATTTTGCTTTTGATTTTGGTTCATTTCCTTTTTTTTTTCCTTGGGTTGCTTTTAATTTAGAATTTCCAAAAAAAAAAAGAATCTAACTAGTCAATGAGTCTAAATGCAATATACAAAAATGACAATGAGATTCAAGTGAAACGCTAAGAAGATGCTCACCTCGTGATTCGCGTTAAAATGCGGAAGAAAACTGAACAGTTGTCGGTTGTCACAAAAGAAAAATGGAGATATTTGTAAAAAAAAAATTAATGTCTAGAGATTGGGCGAGAGAGAGAGACTTAAGTCAATTCGAGTTAACAAATCAAAGCAATGGCTTTTTGGAAATTGAGAAGAGTGAGTGAAAGAGAGAGTGATGAGCAAGATTGAAATTTCTTCTTGGAAATGGAGAAGAGTGAGTGATGAGTAAGATTGAAATGTCTTTTTCGAAATTGAGAAGAGTGAGTGAAAGAGAGTAATGTGTAGGATTGAAATGTCTCTTTGGAAATTAAGAAGAGTGAGTGAAAGAGAAAGTGATGAGTCAATTTGAATAGAAGAAGTGAAGGAGGGTAGGATAATTGTTAGATACCAATATCCAAATAATCCATGGTCATTATTTGCCCTACAATACAAAGTTTAACAATATAAGACACTTAATTTTGACTGATGAGTGTGAACGATAATTGAATGCAAAATTTTTCTTATGAACATTCACATGTTAATTGTGATTAATTACAAGATTTTCTCATCTGACTTGAATTTTGCAAAGCTAATTATGGCAAGTGATTATAGAGAATAATCAAAACCAACTAAAGCTACATTTATTGATTTGAGGGATTTTGCTATTTAGGTTATTAAAGTATTTGAAATGAAAGTGTACAAATAATCAAAAACATAAAAAACTGATAACTCAAAATCAAAATCTGTAATTCGGTGAAATAATAAACAGGTATAAGTCCTAAAGTATATTACATCATTCAAGAACAATTTCATTGATAACTATTTAGGAGAGAGGTTGAATGAGAAAGTGAGAGAATAGGTATCAACCAAGAAATTAAGTAAAAGAATTTTTTTCGGGCATTAAAAGAAGTGTTGGAGGATGGGAATTAGTATTATGTCACAGAAGAAAAGGAATTTTATATATAAATTCGAGTCAAAAATCTTATTATTAAAGATAATGATGAACTATTATTTGGACTTCATATTTAATACCCCTTTCCCAACTACAAATATCTATAAAGCCCTGAAACATAAAACCGTTTAAGAGAATTCTTGTCAGACAAAATATAATCTCACACAATTAAGAGTGAGAAGGGTTGAGTGAGAAAGTGAGAGAATAAGTATCAAACAAGAAATGAAGTAAAAGAATTTTTTTGGGAATCAAAAGAAGTGATGGAGGATGAGAATTAGTTTTAGGCCGCAGGAGAAAAATAATTTTTTATATATAATTGCAAGTCAAAAATCTTATTATTAACGATAAGGATGAACTATTATTTGGCCTTCATATTTAATACCCTTTTCTCACCTTTGAGATATCTATTAAGCCCTGAAACGTAAAATCGCTTAAGAAAATTCTTGTCAGACAAAATATAATCTCATAAAAAAATCCCTTATGCAAAATTATTTTCATACAAAAAATTAATCCTGTAAAAAAAATCCCTTATTCTTGTGATCACAAAATTTGACCATAGTCCTTTGCACAATAATTTAGGGAAAATATGTCTAATAGTCCTACAACTTTTATCAATGATTTTATTTGGTGCCTCGATTTTAAAAAGTATCTATTAGATTTCTCAAGCAATAAATTTGGCTATAAATGGTTTGTCCAAGCCAAATCTAAGCATTATAATTGTCACTTTGCCGCTCTTGAGCTCTAAGTTATAAATGTCTCTTTTCCCTCTCTAAGTTTAAAATAAAGTATATTAGCCCTTGTTAAATATTAATAATTGACTAGTTTGACTGACAAAAGATTGTTACATGTCCTTCATACGATTTACATAAAGTAGACAAAAAAAGAATGAAACACTCCTCTTTGATAAATAACAAACTGAATATTACTTTTAGCATACAGAACTTTGCTGACTCTTATTTATGGCTATCATTCATCATCATTATTAGTACTTGATTTAAGGTCTCGTAAACCCGAAATAATATTCATAAAAATAAGCATTAATCCAATAGGAATAAAAAATATATTTCCAAAAATAAATGAAAGATAACCTATTTGCTTTAATAATTTATTATTTATTTTTAGTCAACACCATTGAGAATATGATAAATTTTGACAATATGAGAAAAAGATAAACATAAATAGGTACTCCCACCTATTTCTTCTGTATTTGGATTTTTTTTAGGTTGCATAAATGCTACATTGTTTAATCTTTTTTCAGTAAGTTTTGTCGTCAAAGTATGAATAATTTGGTTAATCAGATAATAAAACAATAATATTCATAACAATATGTTGGAAACCAATATGGCGACAACAACTCAATACTCATCCAAACAACTAAAGCAGAACCTTTCTTTTACTACCTTGTGAAGTTGGGGAAGAGCCACTATAACACCAAAGGTATTGTCAAAGAAGGTGCCATACAATTTTTTTTTCTTTTTAGCTGCCATACAAAATTACCAATGAAGTGGCTTAAATGAAGGCATCTAGTACAAACAACTTAAAGAGATAGCTTGGTCAGACTCAAAATTAATTGGCCTATTACAAATGTGTATTACCAAGAGAGCATAATGAACCCACAGGATACATAGAATTAGGCCATAGGAAAATTTAAGCTCCATGCAGGATCCGAAGGATAGCTTCAGCAAAAGGGTTTAGTTTCTTACACTTTCTGAACCTGAGATATTGCATGATAGCTTAAGGCAGCACGAAACAAACCTGAAGCAGATAGGCACAATTTTGCTGATGATCAGCTTCTGCAGGAAGAAGACAAATACCACCGTTCTTGCGGCTGCATGGATGTCCAATTATACATAAAGTAGAGATGGGTTCTCTGGCGGGCCCTTGGTGTACAGACGTTACACTTTTTTTCTTTTAATAACAAAAATCTAGTAAATTTACAACGCATTTTTATGGAAAGAAGAATCATGCCAAATGTTCAAAGACAAGATTAGTACGTAACCAATAATATCAAACTTCAACGGTAATAAAAGTAAAATAAGTGATTACAAAGTTTCATTAATAAAATTCAACAAAATTTGATTTGTATTTGATGCAAAAGTGTTAATTGCCAGCAGTGATACATATCTCCCTTGCGTGGATAACACATATTCTAAACTTGAATTCTTCTTCTTTTTCTTTTTCTTTTTCTTTTTCTAAGTAGAAGGTATTGAATTCAAAATCTTCTACTTAAAATTTTTCTCATCTTATGATCCAATCTAACTCTCCCCTCTAAACTTCAGTTCATTGATAGCCAAAAAAACCTCTCTCTCTCGACACACACACACACATATATACACACACGTATATGTATGTATGTATATGTATATGTATATAACAAATGACTCAAGAATGAAGTTAAGATCCTGGCAAGTGCCAATAGATTCTTTCTAAACCCCATCACGTCTCTCACAATCACTAAGTATTAATTTAAGGCAACATATTGATGTTTTGACTGAATTATTGTAATTTATTTTTCTGGATTTTGTACATATCTTTTTTTTTTTTACCGCATGAATGCATGTTGGAGGAGTTAAATTTAATATTCAAACAAGTCTTGATCCATAAAATATAATGAACCTTGAAAGCAGTATAGAATACATATACAACACCTCCCAAAAACTAACAAGTATTTTATCTTAAACTATTGTCATAAAACAATTGGAGTTCACTTCCCTTCCTGGTCATCACTTGGCACACTGATTTTACTCTGCCTCAACTAGCAGTCTATTTGCGACGCCTTTATTAGTTTTCTTTGATTTTGTCATTACGAGTATTAATTAGACTGAGGAAAATGGCTGGCAAGAGTTGAATCAGTACTTAAATATGGAAACCAAATAGAAAAAGATAAATGAAAATCTCTATTTATTTAAACAATTGTTGCCTCAGAAAGCACAATAGTTGTGCTCCTAATGTCTATTCTTCTTCTTCTCCAAATGGTGACAAATGAAAATTTTCCGGGGCATGTAAAGAATCTGTCATTCCATTGCTTCTCCATATTGAATTTTTGAAAATTCTCTCGATGTAATTATTTCTTGATTGTGACAGCCCCACCTCCCCCTAAGGCGAACCAAAGGGTTCGACGGACCGCCTGCCCAACTCTCGCCGGTACTTACTACAGTTCTCAAATAAATTACAACATTCATATCCAATAACAAAGGGTACAACCCTCAATAATAAACAAAAACATTTCCCAAGTTCAGACTGTATACGTACATACATTACAAATCTCAAATAGTGGTACAATTCCCCGAATAAGACAAAAGTCCTTAGTTCTCAAATAATTACAATTACAATATTAGGCTCAAATATTACATCTAATACTCATCAAGTGAATCGAATTCAAATTATACATGAGATATCCCTTCAGACACTCTTCCTTTGCCTCGAGCCCTGTGGGGAGAAAATTATTTTTGGGGCGAGCTAGAAGCTCAGCGAGTGTCCAATAAAATCAGTAATCAA